TATTAATAATGTAGTTTTGAAATTTTTTTTGCTAATTTTTTATTAAATTTGACTAATAAATACTAACATTATACATATATTATATATGAAAATGTATTTTCTAAGTTGTTTTCTTAAATTTTTTTTAAAGGACGTGTGTGAAAATTCATTTTTTAATTAATATTTTTAAAAATCAATTGTTGAATTGAAAGTTCTATCTATATAGATTATGTATGTCAATTTTTAAATTATTTTAAGATGTCAAACCACTTTATTCATTATATATAAGAAATTGAATTTGTTTATGATACAGGTTAAAAGTGTAATTATTGTACTCTTTTACATTAATTATTATTAAAATATATGAAAATTGTCATTGATTTCATCAATAGCGTCATGTGGACCATTTTAATTAGATAGTTATTTAAATAAAGATTAATTTTTATTTTTAATAGTAATTAATGAGAAAAATGTGTAATAATTATATCATTAATCTATACCTTTCAAACATAAATTAGAAAAATTTAAAGAAATTTAATACCGTTAAATATATTTTTTTATTAAAGAGTTATAAATTTTAAATTAATATGAATTATAAATTTTAAAGTAATATAAAAATTGACATACATAATTTATATGAATAGAATTTACAATCCAACAGTCGATTTTTAAAAATATTAATTAAAAAAAATTAAATAAGTCATCCCAAAAAAAAAACTTTAGAAGGATGACATGCTAGCTTCATATATATATATATATATAAACCTTATTTTACAATTTAAATTATAGTAGACTATACAATAGAGGTTATTGAATTAGAAAGCCCTGATATCAATGCCATCGACGGAGATAAGGTGGGCATGAAGGGGCAGAGACTCCTTTGAGCTTTTAAGAAATAAAAACTTTAGTCCATTAAATTAAATTTTTATTTATTTAATCCTTATTTATTTCATACGTTTTAATCATTTTTAACTATTATTTTTTCAAATATTGGTTTTAGTGTTTATGAGAAAAACAAGATAAAATAAAGATAAAATATAATATAATAAAAAAATAAAAATTAATTGAATACCAAATTGTTTAATATCTTTTTTTATAAAATAGTTATTCATTAATATTATTTTTTTGCTCATTAATACCCTTTTATTTTTATTTTTTGTTTATTAGTGTTTTTCTATTCAATATATATATATATTCATTTTATCTTTCAATTGATGTCATATATAGTACTATACCATTAATTAAAACTAGTTTATCATTAACGACTAGCAAATTTTAGTTTAGAATAATTTTTTAATTAAAATTTTATTTTTTATTAGCTTTTTTTTTAATATTACATTGCATAATATAAAGTAACTCTCTCACATTTTTTAATTTCACCTCATTCGCATATCACATGACTTAAACTCAAGATTTTTTGTTTTCAAAAAAGTCAAATTATTACTGAATTATTTATTTCGTTAATATTTTTATTTTTATAAGCTTTTTAATTAATGAAAAAGCTCATTCTTTTTTTTTAATCAAAATGTCGTTCGGCCCCTTCTAGTTCTAAACAAATTTTGTGGCTCCGCCGCCACTGTCGCTAACCCAAGGGTCCGAAGTGTGGGTCTGCCATCACTGGATGGATCCATTGGGCCTAAACCCAAAATTTTTATGAAGTGTCTTTGCTCTTCTCCAGCAGAAAACTAGAACCTGGGAAAACCTGATCAGCGTTCCTTTCAAATTCGAAATCGGCATTTCGCTTCTTCGCTTGTAGCCTTGTACCAACAACACCACACCACACCAGGCCATGGCTATGGTTCTGGACTCCAAAACCGACTTGTCGTTTCCCTACTGGGCCTCCGTTCACCGACGTTTTGGTCCTGACTCTTCTTTCTTTGCTACCGGCAACCTTGAAAGAGAACTTCTCGCCAAACAGGTTTTTTCTCTTTTTAATTTCCTTTTCAATTAATTTTAGATGATGCCGACTTCGACTTGATGTACTAATTTCCCTACGAATAACCTGTTTTTGGATCTTGAATTTTCTTGGTTTGGATGCCATGGAATGGTTATTGTAATATAATTTTATAATTTTGAAATCATGAATTTCAGTAATTACTGTAGTATGAATAGTCTATAGAGCCTTTTCTCATATTCCCTCCCTTGTCTAATGTAATGTGCAGGTTGCCTTAGATTTAACTGAAGATGAAAAGCATCAGCTTCAGGAGATGGTAGACCAGGATACAATGTTTTACTTTGTACCTACCTACTATTGTTAAACTGTGTCTGTTATATCCTTTTTGTTTGAATTTTTTTGAACCTGGTTTGCAAATTGCAATGTTATTATGTAATTACAAGTTTCAGTTCAAGAAAAGGGACTGGCATGGGCCATGTATATTCAAAGTATATTTTAGTTTAATATACTAGGTATTAACATGTTTCAACTTGAACAAGGTAAAAAAGACAAAGAAATTGAAGTGAGATATTTTCCACTTAAAATTCCATTTGGATCTTAATTTTGGAAACTGATGCATGAGTTTCAGTTTAAGAAGAAGGTCGCTTTTAAATTTCCTACAGACGAGTTAATGCTTCAGAAGTTCAAAGTGTAGATACCATAAACTGACAGATTATATTTTGGTGCGATTGACAGGTACGTGTTTACCCAAGAGAGGTACAGCCTGAGAACCCCAACAGCTTGGGAGCAAGGAAGAGAGAGTATTTCAGGATGTGCAGAGAACGAGACCTTCTACTGTATCCCTGGAGTGATATCCCGGGTCAATAAAAATTCACCATCTCAACGTATTTTTTTTTACACTTCATCAATCATCTAACCAAAAGAGCAGAGATGACATCCTTTCATTGGTCTGGGATACAACAGAATTTTTCGCAAAGAACAAAGGAAGTAAGGCAAAACAGGAAGGCATCGTTTCTCAACCAGAATTAGTCCTTGCTTCAGCAGCTGATGCCACAGATGAGAGTCCGATTTGTTAATTTTGAAAACTGACCATCTGCTTTTTCTTTCTTTAAACTGTACCAAAATGAGGCTGTCAAGTCAATATTTTTTCCATTGTAATTTGAATACACTTGATATCAAGCTAGCAATTTCTATTTCTCGAGTGCAAGCTTGACTTTATGCTCAGGAATAAATAAATCGGTTCTCATTTCCCTGACTCCTGTCAAAGGAATGGGAAGGACCATAGCGTCGAATTTCAACAATAGGGAAATAATCATATTGTTTCTGTGAACTGGTTACCAAAATCCCACTGAACTCCAAGTCAGGAGTCACTACTTGCATACTCCAGCGTAAAACTCAAGAGATCCAAAGGGTAAAATTAGAAGTGAAGAAGGATATAAACACACCTCACAATTTTTTCCTCTAAAACATTGATTGCACATTTTAACATCTAAGAATTTAATTCAATTTGTTTATTCATTAAGCTTTAATTAAGTAAGCTTGAAAAGTAAACGGTTAGAATTAAAATTAATTAATTTCATAACTATTCACTAAGCTAAATCATTATAATCATTTAATTATATTTTTTATTTGATAAATCCTTTTTGTTTTTTTATTTTTTTTAGCAAAACGGGATGGGTTGACGCAATCCAAAACACAACCCATGCATCTGAATGGATTTAAACAGATCAAAAACCCCAATCAAAACTGAGAGAAAACTAGAGTTCCTGCCATTCCTTTGATAAATATAAAAATAAAGGATAAGAACATAAACGGTAAGATTAAACCAAATCCAACATCCAAATACAGGGTAAAATCTGAACACAAAAATGTATCATTTCATCGACCAGTTTTACATTTCTATAGATCTAGATTCACAACCAACACAAATGCATGAATCAAGAAAGAAACGAAGATTGAGAGCTAGATTTTTGCTTCGGATCCAGGGTACCCCACCCACGGTATAGTCCCTGAACCTCCAGCAAAAAACCAATTCTCAAGCTCCTCTGTAAAGATCGATACCTAAGCGAGAGAAATCAGACAAAAGCAGCAAGCCGCAGGGCAGGAACAGCCACCGGAGAAGCACCGAAAAGACACCGGAAATCACCCCAAGCTCCTTTTCTCTTCTGCCTTTCTGCCCCGAATCTTCTCCTCTCTACCGTTGCTGTTTCCGCATTAATCACAGAGAGCACAAGCTGGAAATTTCTGAGAGTTTTGCCCCTTTTGTGCGGCTGTTACAGAGAAGATATACAAGAGGTTTTCTGTGATTTTGAGTAGAGAGAGTGGCTGTTTGGTGGTGATCGGTGAAGATGATGAGATCAGAGATGATCGGCAACAGTGGTGGTGAGATGCAACTCGCGGGGCCGGAGAGAGGTTGACGGTTGGAGACTTCAGGGATTTTTTCCCGTGGCTGCCCTCCTCTCCTTTCTGTGCCATCCCCTCCTAAAAACGTT